AAGAGATTATAACACTAGAAAAAGAGATTATGTCAATGAAAATCTCAACTTCTTGGTAAAAACTGAGCCAAAAAATCTCGAAAGGAGAGAACTGAGCTTTTTAGTCACGCCCTCACTTTGACTAACATGACAACCCGAACTACTGGTATTGAAGACCGATTATTATTCTTATTTTACTACTATTATTATTGTTATTACCATTATCATTATAAATATTACAAATATTTCATTATAAATCTACTACTACTACTACTACTACTACTACTACTACTACTACTACTACTACTACTACTACTACTACTATTGCTGCTGCCGCCGCTGCTACTGCTACTGCTGCCGCTACTACTGCTACTGTTGTTGCTGCTGCCGCCGTTGCTGCTAATAACATTAATGTACGCCTTCCTACTTTCCTTTTTCATTATTCAGAACAAAAAAAACCCATCGATTCTTCGCCACTAGCAAACCCTAACAATCGCTCTTTCCATTCTTCATCTCAACCAAAAAAAAAAAACAAACTTACGTATTGGTTCGATTCGGTAGTACAGCAACAGATGAGAAGGTTACATCAAGAAGTTGCGAATTGCAAAAATCAACTGGTGACGGCATCATCTGAGACTGCATATGATCACATTTTTGCGTATCAGTTTCAAATTTGTACAGCGATTCGGGCGATTGAGCACGATGATTTCCCGCATTGCGTAGCGATATGCGGACATTCTCGTGACATTCTCCACAGATACTATTCTCCACAGCAATAAATAATAATAATAATAATGTGCAAGTGTTGATAATTATGAAAAAGCTGGCAATTGAAGAAATTGTCGTCATTTCCTCTTCGCATCACTGTCTGCTGCTGCTGCTGCTGCTGCCGAATCGTTTTTGGTGGGAAAATTTCGAATTTCTTTTAGCTCCGTTTCAGCTGCTGCTGCTCCTGATTCTCCCGGAACGGGGTCTGTATTTTTAGTTTCTTCACCGATTTGATTGGCCTTGATTTGTTGTTGCTCGCAGCTCGGCGTTGTTGCCGCTTTTGTATCAATTTCTGCTTCTTCTGATACCGATGTGGTGGCAATTTGGTCTGCTGCTGCTTTTATCTGCGCCTGCTCACGCTCCTCGCGATTGTGCCGTGCGCGAATGAATGTTTTAGGATGTATTGGTAATACGCCCCAAAGACCTAAAAGCAATTTTTACTATAAAATACAATACAGTTACTGGCGAAAAATAAACACGAAAATCCGTATTTTAGCTTAAATTAAGACCTAAAAAATGCACTGGAGGTGCGGCCGCATACCGCTTCTAAACTGTATTTTTCCTGGCAAATTACTAAAACTCGGCTTGGCTCAGCCGAACTGGGAAGCTAGTTCCAACCACTCCGGGTAGAAAAGCAGAGGTGGAAGAGACGGAGTGTCGTGAATGGAACTCTTTCTCAAAAATTGTCCTGGACCAGGAGTGAATCTCGAAAATTGTCCCATACCTCTTCGCGTTCGGGCGCAATGTGTTACCATTACACCACCGGCCCTTGTGCTCCAGGTTCAGCCTGGCAGCAAATCTACTGTGTATCTGCCTTTCAAAACAAGATACATCTTCCTTCTCTTTTTTCTTTGTGGCGGCTTTTTAGCCGGCTTTTCGCGGCTCTCCCCCAATACGGAGTTAGTATGGAACAAAGTCGAGAGTTAAGGTCTTGAGGTCGTGATGGAAGTAGGAAGACGGAGTTACTGCTGAGAAAGGCGCTGCGACGTTGTCTGGAGATAATAAGGCATATTAATAAGGTATATCAAAAACGGATGAAAAGAGATGAACAGAGAGGAAGCCAAGAGATGAGAATTACAAAATTTGTAAACTGATAGAAATATTTTAATGGTAAGAAATGTTTCGGTCCAAATTTCTTGCCATTACCGGGGCACGGAGAAATCCCCTTTTCTATATGGCTTACAAAGTTTGAGGATTATGCAGAGGCCCAAAGCACCCCTTGGACAGACAGTGAGAAAGTTAAACAGTTAAAATTTTTCTTAACTGATCTTGCACGAGAAAAATATGAGGCTTTTAATCATGAGGAAACCAAAAATAACTATCCCGAAATGGTCAAAAGACTCAAGGAATTGTTCGAATCATCAAAGATGCGCAATGTGTTTCGACAAAGTTTATTACTGTGTCGGCAGCGTGAAGGTGAATCAGTGAATGCCTTCACAGGACGCCTGACCAAGGCAGTAAAAGCCGCAACAGTAGGTAAGTAAATATTTTAGAAAATGTTATTACTTATATTAAAGCATTACTAACATGAAATAAACATATAAGTTAAATAAATTTAAAAGAATGTAGAAAAGGAATGGGGCCTTTGGGTGAGGGCGCTTTACAGGTTTTTTTTTTTTACGCCCAGCATAAAGACCGATGCTGAGGAGAAGTTCCCAAACTTGAACACGACACCTATAACTTTACCTATACCGAAAAACCCGGCAGTGTGATTTTCGCGACTCGAAGCCGAACCCAAGGGCGAGTGTATACTGCGCGGCCGAGCCGAGTCGAGCCAGGCCGAGTTTTAGCAATTGCCAAAAACTTCCCTTACCAACTTTTGCAGTTTTTATGCTGAATAAACCAGTATTACCTTCAAAAAAAAAAAAAAAAATGCTTATACCCAACAATTCCAGAAGAGGTGGCGAAATGTACGCGTCACGTACACCAATCCAATATTTTACACGAGAAACGTCACATGCAACCAATTTTTCGTTGCGTGTATTCGGAATCGGGTCGAAAATGCCAATCTGAAAACAACAAGGCAACTTCCTGTACAATTAGGCGCATAAGCCGATCCTTCCTTTTATACTGCAAACATACCCCCCCCCCTCTTTTTTTCAGAATGGCCATAAATATTTACCAGCAGCAATTTACCATCGAAATAAATTACATAAAAATTGATTTTCGCACTGACGTCGAATCGAGTCATCAAATTTGCACTTATACAATTCGTAACATTTTTCATTTTTTTTTTTTTTGCCTTTAGCTATTTAAGGTTTAAAAGAAAAATGTATTAATGCTGTCAAAAAATATAAGAAAGGATGATAGGAAAGATAAAAAAGGGAAGAAGGTGAAAAGGAAGCGTT